CTCCAGGCCCCTCCTCCTCCTCTTCCTCTGATTCCCCAGACTCAGCTGGCTGGCGAGGAATCACAACACTGCCTAGGTTAGAAACACTCTTGAGGCGAATAAGGAGGGTAACCTTGATGGAAGGTAACACAAACTCTACTGTGGATACACCATCCACAACAGACAGATAATATTTTCAAGAAGCTCATTGAGACACTTCTCTGCTTGTACAGCAGAGTTAAGACTTGCAATTCGCTTTCTTATGGGTTACTAACTTCACAACTGCGGCAAGAAAAATCGTAACATGGGGCAAATCTCACTGAATAGTTGTCTCGTTTAGCAACAGAAATTTGGGGCTCAGTTGTGGTCCTAAGTAGAGGACTACCTGTCTGCGGACTTCAACCCCCAGAATTCCCCAACATTGAGGAGAATTCTGGGGGTTGAAGTCCACACCCCCTGGACATTGGCACGGTTGGGAAACGTTGCCCTGCAGGAACAGAGAGAAAGTGGAGATTTACCAGCTGAAAGGGTGGGGGGGCTGTCCTGTGTACAGTAAGCACTGAGCGTTGTGTTTTTTTAATTGGGACCCCACCCTTTGGTGTTGTGTCCATACAGGATGCCTTGGCAGGGGGATACCAACAACATGATTGACCGGTTCGATGTACGGGCCCACCTGGATTACATCCCCATGTATACTCCGCCCCTGCTGAATCCAATGTAAGGCATTTGTTCCTTTCTCCCCCCCCCCCATCTCTGATGCTGGAATGTACAGCTCCTTGCTTCCATTGGAGGTTTGGCTTCGGAGATACTTCCATTGGGAAGGAATAAGTCCCTCTATAACCTGGCTGATGGATTCCTTGAAATTGTGGCTGGGCAAATGAATTGTAATGTGCCTTCGGGCGATAGGCCCAAGCACAAAACTGCAGTCGTTTTGGCTGGCACATCCCATAGAGGCTAATGTGATGTGGGAACCCAGCTGGGATAAAATAACGTGGCCTGGGTTTTTTTTTGGGGGGGGGGGAGAAAAGGCTCAGGTTAACACGGGGAGTTTCTTCATGCCGTGATTTTTCAGAACTGGGGGGCTGGGGGAGCAGCCCAAGGTGGATCCGTTCTGCAAGTCTTTGTGTAGTTTTCAAAGAGTTTGCCTGCTTAGAATTTTAATTCTGGCCCCTTCCTCTTACACCTGCAGCTCCCCTGAGCAGGAGTCTGACGAAAGGAAATGCAACTATGAGAGATACAGAGGACTTGTGCAGAACGATTTCGCTGGCAGTAAGTTCTCCTCCATTTTTCTTGCCTTGCTGTAGAGCACAGAGGTTTAAGGAATGGTGTGTGTGTGTGTGTGCGTGCACGCGTGCGCTTCTCCTTGTTCTCAGACTTGCTCATCAAGCCAACACCTAGATTTTCAATGACTTAATTCATTGGGTTCATTCTGGAGTCAGCCAGAATGAGGGAAGGGATTGCAGGTAGATCTCAACTTACAACAACAACAATAATAATGTTGGAAGGGACCTTGGAGGCCATCTAGTCCAACCCCCTGCAGGAAACCCTACACCATTTCAGACAAATGGCTGTCCAGTCTCTTCTTAAAAACTTCCAGTGTTGGAGCATTCACCGCTTCTGGAGGCAGGCTGTTCCACTGGTTAATTGTTCTAACTGTCAGGAAGTTTCTCCTTAGTTCTAGGTTGCTTCTCTCCTTGGTTAGTTTCCATCTGTTGCTTCTTGTCCTGCCTTCAGGCGCTTTGGAAAATAGCTTGACTCCCTCTTCTTTGTGAACTTCAAATCCTGATGACTTTATAGACTTGATAAAACTCGTTTTCTTGACTATAGCACAGAAATAATCTGCCATCACGCTTTACTAGGCCAGGGGTGGGCAACCTTGGCTCTTTTATGACTGGTGGACTTCAACTCCCAGAATTCCTGAGCCAGCAGGGCTCAGCATGGAAACCTCTCCCTTTCCCCCCAGCATGGCTGGCTCAGGAATTCTGGGAGTTGAAGTCCACGAGTCATAAAAGAGCCAAGGTTGCCTACTCCTGCACTAGGACATGTTTTAAAATTCCTCAGTCTGTCTAGAACCCTGGCATTTTGTTGCAGCCTCTCATCTAGTTACTAACCAGGTCTGACCACAAGGTGCTTTTCCAAAAGGCAACTGAAACGTTTCGCTTTTTATCCAAGACGCTTCTGCTGTTCTGAACTGAAGGAGCTTCTTGGATGAGAAGCAAAATGTTTTCAAGAAAAAAAACAACAAACCCAAGAAAGTCCAGCTGCCTTTTGGAAAAAAGCACCTTTGGGATGACGATGACCTGGATGGTCGAGGATCTCCATAGACACAAGTGGGTTTGACCTTGCTTAATTTTGGTTTTCTTCTGCGGTCAGAGGGTTGACGAGGGGCTGCCCTCTGTTTTGGGTGAGCAGGGTAGCAGCCTAATCACACCCACTGCAGAGCAGCTGTCTGTAAAGATGAATCGGCCTATTTGGGAATAGGACCAACACCGTCACCCACAAGTCTTCGGATTGCTGCTTCAGGGTCATTCATCATAGCTGTTGTGATGACCCAGGGCACAGCACAGAGGCAGTGCAGTCAGCTGGCCATTCAAACAGTTCTTTTATTGCTCCCAATTTCCCCCAAATGCTCCCACGTTTGCTGGCATGCCTCCAACAAAAGATCACACACACACATCCCTTCAGCTGACTCTGGTTGAAAGTAGGTTCAAATAGAGGCTGATTAGCATGAGAAAGTACGCAAGGCCGTAGAGCAGTGTTTCTCAACCTTGACCATTTTTAAGGCATGTGGACTTCAACTCCCAGAATTCCACAGCCAGCGTTGCTGGCTGTGGAATTCTGGGAGTTGAAGTCCACATGCCTTAAAATGGTCAAGGTTGAGAAACACTGCCGTAGAGACAACAAGGAAGAAAACATAAACTTAACGAGTCCATTTGAATCCGAGCTTGACGGAGCAGTTTCCAAAAGAGAATCCGAAATACAGTCCGATAGTCAAGGTTTCCAAACAAGGCGCAGAACAAGAGCAACAATACACGACATTCCAAGGAATCAGCGGACAAATGCCCCTCCCCACAGCGGCTCCTTAAATCTCAGTCTCCAGGTGTGCCTTGTGGAGAGGGGCAGGACGCTCTCCTCCTGAGTAGTTGAGCCTGCCTGCGTTGTTCCCTCCTTCTCTCCACTCTCCGTGCTCTAGGATCAGGAGGGGGTGCTCTTCCCCACAGTCCTCTGAAGCTGCAGACCCCTCTCCCTCGGTCCCCATAGGGTCCTGTTCCAGCTCCATTTCCTCCTCAGATTCAGGCAGGACAGCTGTCTTCTACTGAGTTGGCTTTCTCCAGTTGTGCCTGGATGGGTGGGATAGCAGAGGAGAAACAGATCTGCCTTGTACCTGAAGCCCACCTCGTTTGGCTGCAAAGGGGCCGGCTTTGTGGGGATCTCACCTGCCTTGTCTCCGTCCCTGCTTTACAGTCTCGGAAGAGCAGTGCCTGTATCAGATCTACATCGACGAGCTGTATGGAGGACTCCAGAAGCCCAATGAGGATGAGAAAAAGAAGTGAGTACAGGCAGCTGGGCCATCTTCGGACACGTTAGGTGCGATCCGTGACTGTGGGGTCCTTGGTGCTCTCTGAGCTTGGTTGTTTTCTTGCAGACGTTTCGTGACCCAACGAAAGAGCATCATCAGTGCTGAATAGGATTTATAAAAAAAGAGCAATTCCCTCCCACTTCTAGCACTGATGGAGTTTTGTAGTCTGGTCATGAAATTCTGCAGGAAACAAATTAAGTTCAGAGAGTACCAAGAACCCCCCACAGTCCTTCTCTTTGTCCTTCTCTTTCTCCTTCCCCTGCTTGTCTATACCCTCCTCCTCCTCCTCCTCCCCCCTCCTCATGTTTGTCTATATTCTCCAACTTCCTTCTTTTCTTCTCTTTGTCTTTTTCCTCCCCTCCACAAACCCCACTCCTTTCTAACACTGATGAGGTTACTTAGTTGGGTCATGAAACATCTGCAAGAAAACCACCAAACTCAGAGAGCACCAAGGACCCCACAGTCCTCCTCCTCCTCCTCCATTCCACAAACACCACTCGCTTCTAGCACTGATGATATTACCTAGTTGGGTCATGAAACGTCTGCAAGAAAACAGCCGAGCTCAGAGAGCACCCAGGACCCCACAGTCGTCTTCCTCCTCCTCCTCCTCCTCCTCCTCCTCCTCTTCCACTCCACAAACCCCACTCTCTTCTAGCACTGATGATATTACCTAGTTGGGTCATGAAACATCTGCAAAAAAACAATCAAGCTTAGAGAGCACAAAGGACACTATAGTTGTCTCTCTTCCTCCTCCTCCTCCACTCCATAAACCCCACTTCCTTCTAGCACTGATAATATTACCTAGTTGGGTCATGAAAAGTCTGCAAGAAAACCACCAAGCTCAGAGAGAACACCAAGGGCCTCACTGTCCAACCCTGAGCTGCAGTTACTCTCTTCCCTCTCTACTCTACTCTCTACTCTCTCTTTGTGACTCTCCCCTTGTCGCTCTTATCTGATCTTTAGAGACTGAATGCTTTGGATTGAATTTCTGACGAGAAAGAGATTTATTTCCATGTCTGGTTTGAACTCCGACAGCTGGGAGGCAGGGGAGATTGTATTCTTACCCATCCACAGATGGAAATCTGGTTGAAAAGCAGTCTAAAAAATGTTTTGAAATAAACAGGGTGAGGGGGAGAATCCCAGTCCAGGTGTCCTGCTCTGGAACTCCCGGCACCCTGTGCCTGACGACGCACATTTCTCCACGTAGGTTGGCGGAGAAGAAAGCGTCTATCGGCTACACCTACGAGGACAGCACGGTGGCAGAACTGGAGAATCCTTCCGAGAAACGAGCAGAGGAGGAAGATTCCGAAGAAGACAGCAACACTGACGAGGACGAAGTGATCCCCGATATCGGTACATCTCCAGATCACTTTTAGGATCAGGCTTGTTACAGAAGCAGGAACAGGGCAGGAACAGCGGCTGAGAGGGCCGGCAGACGTGGTTGAGGGGGGCGGTGGAACAAACTTCAGCCGCCTTACGTTGCTTTCAGATGTCGAAGTTGACGTAGACGAGCTGAACCAGGACCAAGTGGCCGATCTGAATAAACAGGCAACCACCTACGGGATGTCCGAAGGAGACTTTGTCCGGTAAGATTCCTCTTCCTTTTGGGAATTCCAGAGTAGCTCAGACACGATGCAGGTAGTCCTGTATCAGCCTAGAGAGGAGGTCAAGCTCTTCTCCAAAGCCCCTGGAGGCAGGACGAGAAGCTACGGATGGAAACTGATCAAGGAGAGAAGCAACCTGGAACTAAGGAGAAACTTCCTGACAGTGAGGACAATTAATCAGTGGAATGACTTTTTTCCCAGAAGTTCTGGGTGCTTCGTCACTGGAGGCTTTTTAAGAAGAGATTGGACAAGCATTTGTCTGAAATGCTATAGGGCAGGGCTTTTCAACCTTTTCACCCATTATATCACTTTTAGGATATGGCAATATCCGAGTACCACAGTCGCCTAGCAAGGTGTCAAAACCTTGATGACCAAAAAAAAAAAAAAAAAAGGAAAAAAGTGATAAAGTGCAGGTAGTCCTCGACTTACAACAGTTCGCTTAGTGACTGTTCGAAGTTACGACGGCACTGAAAAAAGTGCCCCCCAAGCCACAGCTGAGCAAGACACGGTGCCCGGTGGCGCTCTTCCTCCTGTCCGAGGTTTTCATTGTGAGCATTTCTGTTGAGGATTGGCAGCGGGGGTGGGGTGGGGGGGTGTTTGGTTTTTATTCCCCCCATCTGCTGGGTGTTTGCAGCAGGTTTTGGTCACTTGACATGACCCTGGGACACTGTGACCGTCATAAATATGAATCAGTTGCCAAGCGTCTGAATGTAAATCACAAGACCCTGGAGAGGCTGCAACATTCCAGCTGATTGGTGCTTCTTCTGGGCTCAGCGGAAGCACCAGGATCAGTGCTGAGCTCCAGCTGGAGCCTGGCACTGATCCTGGCACTTCCAATGAGCCCTGACAGCCCTGCAGCTCCAGCCGTCTCTTGCTCAGGCTTGTGCAGTGCTGCCACCGGTTCAGCTCATTCCCCTCCCCCGCTACTTTTCTAGGATGCTCGTGTACCACCTGCCAGGTGCCAATGTACCACAAGTGGTACCCGTACCACTGGTTGAAAAGCCCTGCTATAGGGCAGTGATGGCAAACTTTTTAGAGACCCAAGTGTCCAAACTGCAACCCAAAACCCAGTTATGCATCGTCAGGTGCCGGCTGGGTGTGGCCCTTTGGCTGGGCGTGGCTGCGGTGGTAACGGCAGACTGGGTGGGACTAAAAAGTTCAATCCATCAATTCCAACTTTGCAAGATCTTTTTTTTTCCCAGAGAGAAGTTGAAATTGACTGATTGATTGAACCTTTTTTTTTTTTTTTTTTGCACACGGCGGCGAAGGCCTAAAGCGAAAAGGTTTTATAAAACCCAGCTGAAGGCCTAGGACTGGGGTGACGGCGCGCGTGCCCACAGAGAGGGCTTTGAGTGCCGCCTCTGGCACCCGTGCCATAGGTTCGCCACCACAGGTATAGGGTCTCCTGCTCGAGCAGGGGGTCGGACTAGAAGACCTCCAAGGCCCCTTCCGGCTCTGTTATTCTATCTTCTTTTTCTGCAAGGATGCTGCGGAAGGACAAAGAGGAGGCAGAAGCTATCAAACACGCCAAAGCCCTGGAGGAAGAAAAGGCCATGTATTCGGTAAGGGAACAGAACTCCGGGCTGTTCTCTTCATGTGACTGAGGGAGGTCATGTCCGATCCTTCTCCCTGCCGACTCGTCTCAAATCCTCCGCGATGCAGGCCACGGCGGATAAACCGGGGAGCGATGACCGGCCCCATCAGAGCCTGGGGCCTTTCTTTGCTCTCTTAGGTCTGCCTTCTCTTCCAGGGCCGTCGCTCCAGGCGGCAAAGGAGAGAATTCCGAGAGAAACGTTTGAAAGGAAGGAAGATCAGCCCTCCAAGGTAGGCCTTTCGGAGGTTTGGCCCGGGCCGCTGTTGGTTGCCCTGGCGTCTCTGGGGGCAGGGTGGTTGGACGTTGCAGGGTCTTTTTCTGCGGGGAGGCAAACCCTCAGCTACCGTTCATACGTTAAGGACCACCTAAGCTAGTCTAAGAAACTTGTGTGATTAGGTTGTGTGACTAGATGACCTTCAAGGTTTGATGTTGTTGTTGTTGTTGTTTCTTCTTCTTCTTCTTCTTCTTCTTCTTCTTCTTCTTCTTCTTCTTCTTCTTCTTCTTCTTCTTCTTCTTCTTCTTCTTCTTCTTCCTCTTCTTCTTCCTCCTCTTCCTCCTTATTTCTTCTTCTTCTTCTTCCTCTTCCTCCTCCTCCTCCCCCTCCTTATTTCTTCTTCTTCCTCTTCTTCTTCTTCCTCCTCCTCCTCCTTATTTCTTCTTCTTCTTCTTCTTCTTCTTCTTCTTCTTCTTCTTCTNAAAAAAAAGTATTTTCTGGACTTGGAGTGAAGTTACTGCTGGAAAGAAAGGCAGAAGGCTACAGTTTTTGAAAACCTGCAGGCAGAGTTTTCGTTCTCACAGTCTTTCTCTCATTACAGTTATGCTCGGAGAGACAGCCCCACTTACGATCCTTACAAACGGTGAGTAAAGGCAACCGCTCTGCCTTTGTTGTTGTTGTTGTTGTTGTTGTTCCCAAAGGGGGAAGCTTTCCGTGGCTTCCTAGAAATTAATTTGCATTTGTGAAGGACAGTCAGCAAGGGGTGTCTGTGTGCAGAAGCAGCCTGGCCTTGAAGGGAGTGAGTGTTGTTGATGACGTATTTATTTTCATTCTATTTTTAATGGAAATCTTGAAAAAGCCCACAAATAACCGTTTAGGGCAGGGGTAGGCAACCTTGGCTCTTTTATGACTCGTGGATTTCATCTCCCAGAATTCCTGAGCCACCATGGCTCAGCATGGAAACCTCTCCCTTTCCCCTCAGCGTGGCTGGCTCAGGAATTCTGGGAGTTGAAGTCCACGAGTCATAAAAGAGTCAAGGTTGCCTACCCCTGGTTTAGGGTTTACCTTGCTGCAATGCTATTTTAGTCTGCTGAATATTGATGCTTACTCCAATACCGTTTGTATGGGGGCCTTGGTGCTCTCTGAGCTTGGTAGTTTTCTTGCAGACGTTTCCTTACCAGACTCGGCAGTGTCATCCATCAAGTGCTAGGAGGGAGTGGGGTTTTGCTCTCATTTTTATATACTAGTTTTTATAAAGTAGTTTTATATATTTATATACTAGTGGCTTTCCCTGTCAGTGCTGATGGGAGTATTCTAGATGGTCCTTTGATTAGGCCAGGGGAAGGCCACCTTGGCTCTTTTATGACTCGTGGACTTCAACTCCCAGAATTTCTGAGCCAGCATGGCTCAGCTTGGAAACTTTCCCTTTCCCCTCAGCATGGCTGGCTCAGGAATTCTGGGAGTTGAAGTCCACGAGTCATAAAAGAGCCAAGGTTGCCTACCCCTGGATTAGGCTGTTATTTACTGTTAGCTTGTTTATCTGTGTTGGTAGTTCCTTGATTGGGGTATTGTTTACTTCTTGATTGTCGGTCTAGTGTTAATCTCTGCTCAGATGGGCATTGATTGCTGGCGAGGTGGTGTTTTCATTTAGCTACAGGAATCCTTCCACCAATCCTGACTGAGCAAGCAACTAGTATATAAAAATAAGAGCAAATGCCACTCCTTTCTAGCGCTGATGAGGTTACCTAATTTGGTAATGAAATGTCTGCAAGAAAACCACCAAGGCAGAGAGCACCAAGGACCCCACAGTCCCCCAAGCCCCACTACCTCCTAGCACTGACGATGTTAGCTAGTTGGGTGATGAAACGTCTGCGAGAAAGCCACCAAGCTCAAGAGAGTGTCAAAGATTCCTTATTATGTTTTGCTACGAAGTGAGACAAGGGATATCTCGGTTACCCAAAGTCTGAAAATTATAAACATCAAAGGTTAAATTGGAATATGGATGAGAAACTAAAAATTAGGTAAAAATTAAGAACAGGATAGGGATTGTTTCTGAAGACTGAATGTTAAGATTCAGCTAAAAATGTATTGATAAATGTAATAATGACGTCTTTATTGAGTTGATATAATTAGAACTGGACTAGCTCGAATACGAGGTAGTAAAGGTTAGAGAAAGAGAAGAAATATCTGATGTTGTAACCTGAGATTTGCACTAAAGATTCTGTTATCGAACGATTGATTAACCCAGTCACCACGCTGCTTTTTAAAGACTCAAAATGTACAATTGGAACATGAATAAAATATTATTTTAAAAAAAAGAGAGCATCACAAGATCCCTCAGTTCAACCCTGAGCTACGGATCTTCTCCTCCGTCGGTAATACCCTTGGCGGTAGACAAGCCTGGGATCTGCCAAAGAGCTGCTCTGGGGCGGGATCATCCCCCTCTTTCCCCCCCAGTGATCGCCTGCCTTCCTCCCACAGATCCCCCTCGGAATCCAGCTCCGAGTCTCGCTCCCGGTCCCGCTCGCCGTCCCCTGGTCACGAGGAGAAGATCACCTTCATCACCAGCTTTGGGGGCAGCGATGAAGAAGCCGCCGCTTCCCAAGCTGGGGGACCCCCTCGGAAACCGGCCCCCCTCACCAAGGCACGCTCCTCCGGCCAAGCGCAGCAGGGCAGCGTTGCGGCAGGTCATACTGCCTCCTCCCGGTCGGTAACTTTCGCACCCGCCTCGCCTTTTCCCAAACCTTAAAAGCAGAGACCCCCTTCTGGGGTCAAAGGTTGAGAGTTTGCCTTTGACATCATCCGCCCTGAATGCTTGGTCCTGGTCCAGACCGTGTTAGTCCCTCTGGCAGGCGCCGATCCTGGCCTGAAGGATCCTTTCATGATGGAATCTGGGTCAGGGATCAGGCTCTTGCCCCATGACGGATCCCACGGGAGGCATCCAACCGTGGCTTTGTCGAAGGAGAGACGGGGTCCGGGATCCTGTATGGCTGCCTTAACTTTGTAGGGATCCTCTTGAATTAAGGTGGGGGAAGAGTCCTTTGGCGTGGGAAGCTGGTTTACTACAAATTAAGCCCTACAACAGGGGTCTTCCAACTTGGCAACTTTAAGACTTGTGGACTTCAACTCCCAGAATTTAATTAGAATGAAATGTCAAGGTGATCTCATATGATTCCCATCTCCAGTTGGGGGAAATATGAAAAAAAAGACCTCATAGGGTGTATGAGTGTAGTTGTAATGGTGAAGGAAGAGGCTTTTACATAAACTCAGAATATTAAGCTAATCCTTCCTTTGGAGTTAAAGTAATATCTTGCTAGAATTAAAAAAAAAAATTATAACCAGGGAACCCTAAGATTTCAGCATTCTTGGCAAGCAAGGGGAGCAACTGCTTTTAGAGTTAGATTGCAAAGAGTCCTAGAGTGGCAGATCTGACAGTCATAAATATAGTGATAGAATTCTCACTTATGGATGATCTTTCCCAACAATGTCATATAGCTACTGAAGAGCATATAGCAGAATTCTGGGAGTTGAAGTCCACAAGTCTTAAAGTTGCCAAGGTTGAAGACCCCTGGCATAGAGGATCAGATGAAACCTCTAGAACACAATAGGCCAATGGCCTCACTGCCAAATAGGTCTACTACTCAGGGCTGGCTGAGGAATTCTGGGAGTTGAAGTCCACAAGTCTTAAAGTTGCCAAGTTGGAAGACCCCTGCCCTAGCATGTTCCCAGCCAATCAGTTCTGCTCTTCCCACTGTCACCGTCACTGCCCTGAGGGTATTTATTTTTTAATCCACCCTTTAAAAGACGAAGCTTTTTCGTTGGACTCGCAGCTAATCCTCGACTTACTGTCACAACTTGAGCCGCTCAAATTTTGCCGAGCGTTGTTTTGCCCCCTTTTGACGGCTTTTCTTGCCCCCTCTGTGAAAGGATTCCCTGCAGTTGTTAAATTAATCACGTGGTCGCGACGTGGATCTGGCTTCCCTCCCCCCCATCGACTTTGCTCATCAGAAGCTCGCCAAAGGGGATCGCGTGACTTCCCCCCCCGCCCGGGACGCGCGCCCCCATCATAAATACGAACCAGTTTGTCGAGCGTCCGAATGTAAATCACGTGACCCCCCGGGGAGGCTGCGTGAAAAAACGGTCGCCAATCCCTTTTTTTCCCCCAGCATCGTTGTTAACGTCGCTCACTCAACGTCCTGTTGTAAGTCGAGGATTACCTGTAATTTTATTTCTAGATAACGTGCCAGGAAAAACTAAAATTGTGGCACAGCAGCAAAGGGCCATAAAGAGTCGCGTAGCGTCGAGCATTCTGCCGGCGAAACCAAGGCTTGGGAATACGAGCTTTTCAAGACCCGTTCTTTAGCGAACCCCCAATCTTTACATTGTTGGGGGGAAAAAAATTGCCCCCTTGCCTTGTTTGAGGCCTTGCGGCAAATAATAACAAAATCTGCGGAGGTCCCTCTCTCTTTTAAGCGTAGGTTTCCCCAGCACGGCGTTCAGTTTTTTGTTTTTGTTTTAAATAAGCCTTTCCCTGGCAGTTTTGCGAGTTTAAAGGGAGCGTTTCCTCCCTTTAAAATAAAATTTGGAATTCTCAAGGACGGGACAGGGGATTCTGAGCTAGGAGGTTCCACCTCCTGCCTCTTGCCGTGAGATCTTGCAGTCAACCACCCTCCCCATGCCCGTTGCACTCGGCCGAATCAAACTCCCCCAACCCTTCCTGTCTCCAGGAATTGGGTGCCCGGAAGAAGACCGAGGAAGCGGGGAAGTGAAGGGATGCCCGGACCGTTGCAGACGACTGAGCTGTGGCCGTTAATTTGGAAGCGTTTTGTTTTTTTTCTCCTCCTTTTTGGGGAATGTCCAGCAGGATTAGAGCTTGGCAGTCGGGGGCGTCCTTCGGCCTTTCTCCTCCACTGCCAGTCTCCTGCGTGACCAGCCAGCATCCTGCCTCTCCTCCTTCCAGGCGACGCTCCACCTCCACCTCCTCCTCCTCCTCCTCCTCCTCTTCTTCCTCGTCCACTTCCTCCTCCTCCAGCTCGCAGTCCAGCTCACGGTCCCATCGGACAAGTAGCTACCACCGGACCGGCAGCTACAGCCGCTCCCGCAGCCACCGGTATTCCCGGTCCCACAGCAGGACCAGGCGGTACTCAGCCGGAGGCTCTCGGGACGGGCGCCGACACTCCAGGTCGCGGTCGACAGAGCGGGGCTGGCGTTACGGCTCTCGACGCAGATCCAGGTCAGTGAGCCAAGCAGCAGGAGAGGGGTATGTACCTCTTTGGGGTGTGTGTGTGTGTGTCAAGGATAGAGGTGCCCTAATGCCATAATCCAACCTTCGTGACTTGTGAATTTCAACTTCCAGAGTTCCTCAGCCAGCTGTAGCTGGCTGGGGAATTCTGGGAGTTGAAGTCCACAAGTCTTAAAGTTGCTAAGGATGGACACCCCTGCTTGGCTGGCTGGGGAATTCTGGGAGTTGAAGTCCACTAGTCGTAAAGTTGCTAAGGATGGACACCCCTGCATTGCTGGCTGGGGAATTCTGGGAGTTGAAGTCCACAAGTCGTAAAGTCGCTAAGGATGGACACCCCTGCTTGGCTGGCTGGTGGATTCTGGGAGTTGAAGTCCACAAGTCGTAAAGTTGCTAAGGATGGACACCCCTGCTTGGCTGGCTGGGGAATTCTGGGAGTTGAAGTCCACAAATGTTAAAGTTGCTAAGGATGGACACCCAGGCTTGGCTGGCTGGGGAATTCTGGGCCTTGAAGTCCACAAGTTGTAAAGTTGCCCAGGTTGGAGATCCCCTGGCCTAATGCAAGGCTCTTCCCTCCCTCCCTCTCAGGAGCCATTCCCGGTCTGGGGAACACTATCGGTGGAGCAGCGGCCGAGGAGGGAGGCACTGGAGCAGCAGCCGCAGCAGCCAAAGTGAGAGCGAATCGCGAAGCCGCAGCCGCTCAGCGTCTCCAGCCAGAGAGAAAATGCTCAGGCCCGCGGCCTCGCCTGCTATAGGGGAGAAACTGAAAAAGTGAGTGTGCAGTTTTGTGTGTTTTTATTTCATGTACTGATTCATATCCCACCTCCATCGTTTTTATAGATGACTCTAGGTGGCACGCAGACTCAGCCAGCTCAGAGAGCACCAGATTCACGTAACAGCTGTGCTATTAACAACTGCAGGGGCTGAACAAGCGTGGCAAGCAAGCTCGTAAGATGGGGCAGGACTTCCCTTAACAAATGTTTAGTTTAGCGACAACAGTTGTGGTCCTAAGTGGAGAACTGCCTGTACTGAAATAAAAGGGGTAGCTTCATGAGGACACGTTAAGTTAGTCTCGGAGCTTAACTGGAAGGTCTGCCCATTGCTGACTCAGATTAATCCCTGTCTGGCATCCGTCTTTTGATTGACACCCATCTCTCTCTCTCTCTCTTTCTTTCTTTCTTTTTAGGGCTGAAACGGCTGGTGGTAAAGAGACAGGAGCTGCCAAAGTCAGTAAGAATTTAAACCTCACCTCTTAACTCCCATCACTGCAGAAAAACAAAAGACTCGGGGGACCATAGACATGCGGGAAGCGTGTGTTGTGTGGGGCCTTGCCTAGAGTGTGCCTGGCCGTGCTTGATGGTTTCGTATGTAGTGAACGGGTGGAGATAGAACGTAATAGAAGAAGAACAAGAGTTGGAAGGGACCCTAAAACACGAGCCTGCTTGCTATCAGAGTTCGCAGCCTCCCCTGTCACCGACAGTCCTACATTTGCTTGAGGCCTCCGTAGTTCTTTCATCCAGTCTTCCAGTAACGGAGTTGCAAGGGACCTTGAGGTCTTCTAGTCCAGGGCTTTTCAACCAGTGGTACGGGTATCACCTGTGGTACATTGGCACCTGGCAGGTGGTACGCGACCATCCTAGAAAAGTAGCGGGGGAGGGGAATGAGCTGAACCGGTGGCAGCACTGCACAAGCCTGAGCGAGAGACGGCTGGAGCTGCAGGGCTGTCAGGGCTCAGTGGAAGCGCCAGGATCAGCGCCAGGCTCCAGCTGGAGCTCAGCGCTGATCCTGGCGCTTCTGCTGAGCCCAGAAGAAGCGCCGATCAGCTGGAATGTTGCAGCCTCTCCAGGGTCTTGTGATTTACATTCAGATGCTTGGCAACTGATTCATATTTATGACGGTCACAGTGTCCCAGGGTCAGGTGAAGTGACCAAAATCTGCTGCAACCACCCAGCAGACGGGGAATAAAAACCAAACACCCCCCACCCCACCCCCGCTGCCAATCCCCAACAGAAATGCTCACAACAATGAAAACCTCGGACAGGAGGAAGAGCGCCGCCGGGTGGGCAGGCAGGTGTCTTGCTCGGCTGTGGCTTGGGGGGCACTTTTTTCAGTGCCATCGTAACTTCGAACAGTCACTAAGCGAACTGTTGTAAGTCGAGGACTACCTGTACTTTATCACTTTTTTCCTTTTTTTTTTTTTTGGTCATCCAGTTTTTGACAGCTTGCTAGGCGACTGGTGGTACTCGGATGTTGCCATATCCTAAAAGTGGCACAATGGGTGAAAAGGTTGAAAAACTGTGATCTAGTCCAGCCACCCACAACCTCAGTTCTGGGAACCAAACTCTTACGTACTTGACAAAAGCCGGCCTAAAGTTTGAGTATTCGTCTCGTTTGTCTGGGAAGGCTTGACTTCTCTCCTTGAGGAATAAAAGGTGGGAGGGCCGAGGTGTACCAGGTAGTCCTCAACTTAACAAATGTTCACTTAGTGGCCGCTCAAAATGAACAGCGGCACCGAAAAACATGTCTTTTGACCGTTTTCCACCCTTGCAGCATCCCCCCACGGCCACGTGATCCAAATTCAGACGCTCGGCAACTGACTCCTATTTAGGACAGGTTGCCGTGCCCCCCCCCCCCCCCGGGGTCACGCCATCCCCTTTGGCGACCTCAAAGTCCACGGGGAAGCCAGATTGTCCCACTTCACGAACGTGGCGAGGAAGGTCACAAAATGGGGCGAAATTCATTTGACAAATGTCTCTCTTGGCAACGGAAAATCTGGGCCTAAATTTTGGCCGTAAGTCAAGGGCTACTTGTATTCCCCCCTGCCCCATTGTTCCCCCCCCTCCTGGTTAGGTGAGAAAGATGGGATCCTCTGGAATTTTCTAATGTCCAAGTCTANTAATAGAAGAAGAACAAGAGTTGGAAGGGACCCTAAAACACGAGCCTGCTTGCTATCAGAGTTCGCAGCCTCCCCTGTCACCGACAGTCCTACATTTGCTTGAGGCCTCCGTAGTTCTTTCATCCAGTCTTCCAGTAACGGAGTTGCAAGGGACCTTGAGGTCTTCTAGTCCAGGGCTTTTCAACCAGTGGTACGGGTACCACCTGTGGTACATTGGCACCTGGCAGGTGGTACGCGACCATCCTAGAAAAGTAGCGGGGGAGGGGAATGAGCTGAACCGGTGGCAGCACTGCACAAGCCTGAGCGAGAGACGGCTGGAGCTGCAGGGCTGTCAGGGCTCAGTGGAAGCGCCAGGATCAGCGCCAGGCTCCAGCTGGAGCTCAGCGCTGATCCTGGCGCTTCTGCTGAGCCCAGAAGAAGCGCCGATCAGCTGGAATGTTGCAGCCTCTCCAGGGTCTTGTGATTTACATTCAGATGCTTGGCAACTGATTCATATTTATGACGGTCACAGTGTCCCAGGGTCATGTGAAGTGACCAAAATCTGCTGCAACCACCCAGCAGACAGGGGGAATAAAAACCAAACACCCCCCACCCCACCCCCGCTGCCAATCCCCAACAGAAATGCTCACAACAATGGAAACCTCGGACAGGAGGAAGAGCACCGCCGGGTGGGCAGGCAGGTGTCTTCCTCGGCTGTGGCTTGGGGGGCACTTTTTTCAGTGCCATTGTAACTTTGAACAGTCACTAAGCGAACTGTTGTAAGTCGAGGACTACCTGTACTTCATCACTTTTTTCTTTTTCTTTTTTTTTTTGGTCATCAAGTTTTTGACAGCTTGCTAGGCGACCGGTGGTACTCGGAATTTGCCATATCCTAAAAGTGGCACAATGGGTGAAAAGGTTGAAAAGCCCTGGTCTAGTCCAGCCACCTACAACCTCAGTTCTGGGAACCAAACTCTTACGTACTTGACAAAAGCCGGCCTAAAGTTTAAGTATTTGTCTCGTTTATCTGGGAAGGCTTGACTTCTCTCCTTGAGGAATAAAAGGTGGGAGGGCCGAGGTGTACCAGGTAGTCCTCAACTTAACAAATGTTCACTTAGTGGCCGCTCAAAATGAACAGCGGCACCGAAAAACGTGTCTTTTGACCGTTTTCCACCTTTGCAGCATCCCCCCCACGGCCACGTGATCCAAATTCAGACGCTTGGCAACTGACTCCTATTTAGGACAGGTTGCCGTGTCCCCCAGGGGTCATGCCATCCCCTTTTGCGACCTCAAAGTCCACGGGGAAGCCAGATTGTCCCACTTCACGAACGTGGCGAGGAAGGTCGTAAAATGGGGCGAAATTCATTTGACAAATGTCTCTCTTGGCAACGGAAAATCTGGGCTTAAATTTTGGCTGTAAGTCAAGGGCTACTTGTACTCCTCCCTCCCCCATTGTTCCATGGTATCCTCTGGAATTTTCTAATGTCCAAGTCTATTGAGTTGCAATTCCCAGATTTCTAGGATCAGCCCAGCTAACAGTTAGAGGCAACCTCAGAAGGAGGATGAATAAAAGTGGGGCTTGATTCAGTGCCAAATTCCTGGCCTGGGGGGGGGGGGGGGGATTGGATATTGCTTTGATCCCTGAGGAAGACGGAAATGTACTGAGTCAGAGGGCCGCAGACAGGACAGGAAAAAATGTTCCGTGTCTGAAAACTAAGCATCGTGTTTTTGGAATCCTGCCCTGTACAAACAAGATTGAAAGTCTCTCTAATTCCTGGAAGAATTGCAGATATGTTGAAATCAGGAGAGCGAGGGGGCTTTGATTTTTCAAAATAATAATAATAATAATAAAAAAATGGGCCAATAATTCTTATTCTTGTTCAGATCTCTAGAAGGAAATTGGCCCGACTTTGACAGGAATGTCAGAAGCTTCATGACTTGGTTGCCCTGTTTCCTTGTGTGGCTACCATGTGTATTGTAATTTTTTTTATTATTATTATTTTAAATTTAAAAAACCCAATGTTTTATTTTAAATTTATTTATTAGTATCCCACCTTTATTATTTTGACAAGCAACTCAAGGTGGCAAACATATCCAGCCCACGTTCCTTCTCTTCTTTTTCTCACAAAAACAACCCTGTGAGGTTGGATTGGGCTGGGAGGGAGTGGCTGGCCCAAAGTCACCCAGCCAGGTTTCACGCCTAAGGCGGGACTAGAACTCTCAGTCTCCTGGTGATTGGCCCAAAGTCACCCAGCCAGGTTTCACGCCTAAGGCGGGACTAGAACTCTCCGTCTCCTGATGATTGGCCCAAAGTCACCCAGCCAGGTTTCACGCCTAAGGCGGGACTAGAACTCTCTGTCTCCTGGTGATTGGCCCAAAGTCACCCAGCCAGGTTTCATGCCTAAGGCGGGACTAGAACTCTCACTCTCCTGGTGATTGGCCCAAAGTCACCCAGCCAGGTTTCACGCCTAAGGCGGGACTAACAGTCTCCTGGTGATTGGCCCAAAGACACCCAGCCAGGTTTCACGCCTAAGGCAGGACTAGAACTCACAGTCTCCTAGTGATTGGCTTAAAGTCACCCAGCCAGCTTTCACGCCTAAGGCGGGACTAGAACTCTCAGTCTCCTGGTGATTGGCCCAAAGTCACCCAGCTAGCTTTCACGCCTAAGGTGGGACTAGAACTCACCGTCTCCTAGTGATTGGCTCAAAGTCACCCAGCCGGCTGTCATGCCTAAGGCGGGACTAGAACTCACTGCCTCCTGCTTTCTAGTCTGGTGCCTTCACCACTAGGCCAGACTAGTTCTCACCCACTAGATCAACCTGGTTTTCGGCTTGTGGTTTTTAAGAAAAGGCTGGGATAACCGACTCCCAACAATTTATATAATTTAAATGGCCTTAGATACAATCTGTTTTTACATTTGGGAAGAGTCGTGTTACACCTCACCAGGCTCAATCCACTCCCAAGAAAAAGTAGCACCGGCCTGCTAAAACAGCAGAAAACCCAATCTTATAAAACTAGTGGTGTTTCCTATTAGCGTATGGTAACCAGGATGGTTTTTTTCAAACAAATATTTTGCAACACGGCTATGACTTGCCAATGAACTCTTGAGTCAGTACTGTTGTGTATGTGTAGTTATTGTGTTGGGGACTCCAGGGAGTCTTTCGCCTTGTCACTTAGTGAGTGTTTGCATTTTGAATTCTGGAATTGCTCGCCCCGCGCTGTTGCTTCGTTTTACATCCCTGAAATAAGCTGCCTTTTTCTTTTTAATTCCTTCAAGCTCTGATTTTTGCTAGTAACAGTAACAGAGTTGGAAGGGACTTTGGTGGTCATCTAGTCCAACCCCCTGCTCTCGCAGGAGAGCTATACTTTTTCTGGTAAATGGCTGTCCAGTCTCTTCTTAAAAGCCTCCAGTGATGGAGCACCCACAACGTCTGGAGGCAAGTCGTTCCACTGGTTAATTGTTCTCACTGTCAGGAAATTTCTCCTTGGTTCCAGGTTGCTTCTCTCCTTGGTTAGTTTACATCCATTGTCTCTTGCCCTGCCCTCTGGCGCTTTGGAGAATACGTTGACCCCCCTCTTCCTTGTGGCAGCCCCTCAAGTATTGGAAGACTGCTATCATGTCACCCCGGGTCTTTCTTTTCACCTAGTTGGCTCTTCGTGGATCCTGTGAGCGGGGAAGATAGGATCTCCCTTACTGCTGGGCCACAAGTAGCCTTTTGGGGAGAGCCAGGAATCCGGCAGTCCCTGGGAACTCAAAATACACTTTTTATTCTTGTATGTTCAGTGAATGGCTGTCTCGTTGTTCTTTTCTCTCTTCCCCCCTCCCACTCCATTTAAATAATACTTTATTTATAGGAGAGACTTTTTGGAGACCCTTGTCTTTCTCCACAAACGCCTTCCCCAAATGGACAAGGTGTTCGGGCCCCAGGATAAACTTTTTTAATATGTTTCTGTTTGCTTCTGCTTGTAGCCAAAGCTGACTCCGCAGGAGAAACTGAAGCTGCGTATGCAGAAGGCGCTTAACCGGCAGTGTAAGCATCTTGGGGGGCTGGCACAGGTCTAGGGGACCCTCCCCCTCCCCTTTTTCTTGTCTCCCTCCCCCCCTCACTTTTCTGCTCTGCCCCTTCAGTTAAAGCAGACAAAAAAGCAGCACAGGAGAAGATGATGCAACAGGAACACGAAAGACAGGTAAGCTGGAAGCCGACTGGTTGGCCCAGTGCAGTAGCTGAACTAGCACGGGCACATTGTAAGATCCAACTGCAGCTACTCCTTGACTTAACGGCCGTAGCTAAGCCCAGAATTACAGTCATAAGTGTTGCCGATCGTTAAGTGGGTCACCGGGTGACCGTATCCAATTTTCTGACTTCTGCAGCAGTTGTTAAATGAATACAGTGGTACCCCGGTACTCATTGTTCATTGGTTCCGGGAGGCGCGTCGAATAGCAAAAACCAGGAGTACCAAATTTTTTCCCAAAAGGAATAAGGTAGTGTGTTTTAATGCAGCCGACACCGACAGGTTCTAGCTTGTGTGCTGAGTACCAAACGATGAGTACCAGGGCAAATTTTTTTGCATCAAAATGCGTCGAGTACCAAATTCAGTGAGTTTCAACGCAGTTGAGTGCCAAGGGGCCACTTTACCACCAGTGCTAAGTGGAACTCTGGACGCTTTTTGCTAGAAACAGGAAGTAAATGCCGGGTTTTAGCAAAAAAATGGGTCACAAATCACGGTCGTGTGACTGCAGAATGCCGCAAATGGCACAAAGGGGAGCTGGTTGCCAAGTGCTCCAAGATGGGATCAGGTAACAGAATAAGAGAGTTGGAAGGGACCAGGGAGGCCTTCTAGTCCAACCCCCTGCTCAGGAGACACTATCATCCAGGAAAAATCCAATCTCTTCTTAAAAACCTCCAGTGTTGGAGCACCCACAACTTCTGGAGGCAAATTGTTCCACTGATTGTTCTAACTGTCAGGAAATTCCTCCTTAGTTCTAGGTTGGTTCTGTCCTAGTTGATCACGGGGGGCGGGGGGGAGAGGCAGCAGCTGCTGTCCAGAATTTGAAACTGGGTTATAAGTAGTGCTAGGGAGATCCGTTGTGATGCTAAATGTCGGCCATCAGTCGAGAATCACCGGTAGAATGCAGCATCGTCGGTTGCTATGAAGATGTCCCAGGTCCCTTTCATCCTCGGATTGACTGGACTTCCGCCTTTTCTTCCAGGAACGAGAGGATGAGTTGCGTGCCATGGCTCGGAAGATCCGGATGAAGTAATCCCTCGGGTTTTCTCGTCCTTGTGGTGTGGCGGGACGGGGCGGTGCCGGCTGTCTCCATCCCTGCTAATCTCCATTTTTTTCTTCCCTGCAGGGAGCGGGAACGGCGGGAGAAGGAGCGGGAAGAGTGGGAGCGACAGTACAGCCGCCATAGCCGTTCTCCTTCTCCGCGCTACAGTAAGGGCTACCTTTAGCACAGAGTACAGAATGTTTGAAATTGGAAACGAGGGGGGGGGGCAGACCCGAGTGTTAGAACTAGAACTCACCATCTCCTGGTAGATCGGCTCAAAATCACCCAGCTAGCTTTCACGCCTAAGGTGGGACTAGAACTCACCATCTTGTAGTGATTCGCTCAAAGTCACTCAGCCGGCTTTCACGCCTAAGGTGGGATTAGAACTCACTGTCTCCTGGTGATTGGCTCAGAGTCTCCCAGCTGGCTTTCACGCCTAAGGTGGGACTAGAACTCACCATCTCCTAGTGATTCGCTCAGAGTTACTCAGCCGGCTTTCATGCCTATAGTGGGACTAGAACTCACTGTCTCCTGGTAGATCGGCTCAAAATCACCCAGCTAGCTTTCACACCTAAGGTGGGACTAGAACTCACCGTCTCCTAGTGATTGGCTCAATGTCACTCAGCCGGCTTTCACGCCTATAGCGGGACTAGAACTCACTGTCTCCTGGTGATTGGCTCAGAGTCTCCCAGCTGGCTTTCACGCCTAAGGTGGGACTAGAACTCACCGTCTCCTAGTGATTGGCTCAAAGTCACTCAGCCGGCTTTCATGCCTATAGCGGGACTAGAACTCACTGTCTCCTGGTAGATCGGCTCAAAATCACCCAGCTAGCTTTCACGCCTAAGGTGGGACTAGAACTCACCGTCTCCTACTGATTGGCTCAAAGTCACTCAGCCAGCTTTCATGCCTATAGCGGGACTAGAACTCACTGTCTCCTGGGGATTGGCTCAGAGTCTCCCAGCTGGCTTTCACGCCTAAGGTGGGGCTAGAACTCACCGTCTCCCGCTTTCTCATCTGGTGCCTTAGCCACTAAACCAAACTGTCAAGATTCCGGAGATGTAAATACAGCGGTTCTATTATTTCTTTGTATTTGTTTTTCAGGTCGAGAATACAGCTCCTCAAGAAGGTAAGGCCTGCTTTTTATCCGCTTCAGGGGTAAACATTGGGGCAGAACGAAGGGAGTATCGAGGCCGTGTCGAAGCTGGCGACTTTGGAAACGAGCGTTCGTCAGCCATTGGAGGAGGAGTAATTGAGGCTGAGTAGCTTAAGGCTTGGTTTTGAGTGCAAGAGTTCTGCTTGAACCAGGCTACATTTATTTTTAAACGTTATTTCTAACACCTCCGCAATCCCAACGCTAGGGAGAATAATGCAAATTAAAACCTCCAAAAGACCATCTGGTCCAGCACCATCACACAGTAGCCAACTTGACGCACCCCAAAGTTGAATGAGGGGAGCCTGGTAAAATGCAGGCCAGTTTTTCTCACATTTGCTCCGTTTCAGGGGTGGGGGAACTATGGCCCCTTTATGACCGGTGGACTTCAGCTCCCAGAATTCCTGAGCCAGCCATGCTGGCTCAGGAATTCTGGGAGCTGAAGTCCACGGGTCATAAAGGGACGATAATTCCTCACCCCTGATCTGCTTGAAAAACCGACAGGTGGGGGGAAAAGCCCACTTAAGGGCCAGAGATACCTCCCCCCTCCTCCCAAAAAAGCCGTTGGTGGCTATTTTGTGGCTGAGGAGTGGAAAGGAACGTGCCACTGCAGCAGGAGTCAAAATTGTTGTTCCCACATTTTCCCATTTCCCTTGATGCCTTTGTTCTTTGCTTTCTCACAGGCACTCGCGGTCACGATCCCGGAGCCCTCACTACCGCCACAAGGACTGAGTCCTGGCACCAGGCCACGTTGCTGACCTCTCGCCCTGCTGGCTCCCCGGGGCCCACGTAATAACCCTGCCGTGTAATAAATGCTGTACATTGCTGTTTTTGTCAGAAAAATAAAAGTTTGAAAGAAAAAAAAAAAAAAAAGCAAACATGTTTGAGACATTAGCTCGGAGCTGCCACCCTCCCAGCTCCAGAGGTGGGGATATGCTCCAACACTGAAAGTTTTTAAGAAGAGATTGGATAGCCATTTGTCTGAAATGGTATAGGGCAGGGGTAGGCAACCTTGGCTCTTTTATGTCTCGTGGACTTCAACTCCCAGAATTCCTGAGCCAGGACAGCTGGCTCAGGAATTCTGGGAGTTGAAGTCCACGAGTCATAAAAGAGCCAAGGTTGCCTACCCCTGGTATAGGGTTTCCTGCCTGAGCAGGGGGTTGGACTAGATGACCTCCAAGGTCCCTTCCAACTCTGCTATTCTATATTCCCAGTTCAATTAATCAGTGGGATTGCTTCCAGATCTTGTGGGTGCTCCATCACTGGAAGTTTTTAAGAAGAGACTGGACAGCCATTGGTCTGAAATGGTATAGGGTTTCCTGCCTGAGCAGGGGGGTTGGACTAGATGACCTCCAAGGTCCCTTCCAACTTTATTATTATTATTGTTGTTGTTGTTGTTGTTGTTGTTTTTCCTTGCCTGGTTTCAAAGCATACAAAACTAAGTCACCTGCAGGTATACAGGGAGTCCTCGGCTTACGGCTCCAATTGAGCGCCAAATTTCTGTTGTTAAGTGAGACCTCTGGAGTTTGGCCCCATTTTACGACCTTTTTTGCCATGGTCGTAAAGCGAAACAGTGCAGTTGGCTAAGTTAGTGACAACGGTTGTAAAGTGACTCTGGATTCTTTCCCACTGACTTTGCTCGTCCGAGGGTCGCACAAGGAGATCACAGGACTTTGAGACACAGCAATGGCCATAAGTATGAGTCAGTCGCCCAGCAGGTGAATTTTGATCACAGGACCACGAGGATGCAGCAATGGTTGTGTGAAAAATGGGACATATGGCACTTTTTTTTCAGTGCCGTTGTAAAACAGTCACTAAAAGAACTGTGGTAAGTTGAGGACTACCTGTATTAGGATTAGAAGAAGAAAAAAAGCATTTTACACTCTTCTCCCTCCCAGGTAATTGGAGGTACAGGTGGTCCTTGAGTTACAGCCATAATCAACCATGATTATGGTTGTAAAAGTTGTGGCGGTCGTTAAAGGGGGTCGTCACATAACTGGACTTGATTTCACTAACTTTTTTTGTGGTGCTTGTCAAGTGAGGCAGGTGATTGTAAAGCAGACCTGTTTGCTGTGAGGTGATTTTTTTTGCCAGAAACAAAAAACAAAACGCCAATTTCCGGCAAAAACGTCGCCAATTGCAGTGTGTGACTGTAGGCCGGTTGCTCACGGTGCCCAAATGGTGGTCATGTGACCACACAAGAGGAACATTCAAACTTCAAAACCAGGTCGTAACGTCCCTTTTTTGGGGGAATCTGTCATAACTTTGACGGTCACTAAGCGCCCGGTCGTAAGCCGAGGACTACTGTAAACGAATCGCGGAGACCGAGCTGCCTGCCATTTCTGGAGTAGCTGCTCTGACCTTACAGAGAAATCCCGTCTGCTTTGCTTGTTACGGAGGTTGAGATTCGTTTATTGTAGAGCTGCAACTCAAACAAAAGTGACCGGACGCAAGTCTGAGTCTCTGCCTTAATCCTATCGCAAGAGGCCGGCCTTCAGATTTCAAAGGAATACGCGATAATGTCTGAGCAACGCAGGAGGGCTTCCCGCTGAATCCCAAGAGGAGTCTGAAGCCCAGAAACCTGGAAGTTCAAGATATCGATGTCCGACGCTCCGAACAGGGCCGTGACGTTAACCTTCTCGTACATGACAAAGTTCACCGGCTGGCCAACCATGGCTAAGAGGCTGCGTAAGTAGCGTTCCCGCATAGCCACTCGTGCTTCTTGCTCCAGCTGCAGGTTGGCCGGGTCCTCACACGCTCTGGAAGACAAGCTGCTGGGCCCCAGAGCCTGGAAGCGAGGGGAGTTGGGATCAAAACCACGGCTTGACCCGTCGGGTCCACGAGGCAGGCGCAGAACAGCCACCGGCACCGTCATTGTGTATCCCTGCTTAAAAAGAAAAGAGAAAAAAAAAAAAAGATAATGCAACTTCATTCAGAACTAAAGATAATAAACAACTGGAGCGGATGTTTTAGATTTAGGGGTCTCCAACCTTGGCAACTGTAAGACTCGTGGACTTCAACTCCCAGAAGTCCCCACAGCCAGCCATGCCGGGAATCTGGGAATGGTAACGTGTCCATCCTTGAAGGAGATGGGTACCCCAAAGGTGCTTTTTCAGAGGGCAACTGGACTCTGTTTTTCCTTGACGATGTCTCGCTTCTCATCCGAGAAGCTTCTACAGTTCTGACTGAATGGTGGAGCATGGAAAGATTTATGTTCCTTCCAGTCATCTGGTCATTAGCGCTCTTCCTGAGAGTCACTGAGGCCACTTAGTTTATCTGTGCCCTCAGGGTCACCCGAATCCTGTAGCGTGCAATTTTGTTTTCTTTTTCTGGAAATCCTTTCATACTCCTGCACCATTCAAAGGTGGTTATCTATGGTTGTCTGTCTGTCTGTCTGTCTGTCTGTCTGTCTGTCTGTCTGTCTGTCTATCTATCTATCTATCTATCTGTCATCTTCTTTCTATCTCTATCATCTATGTCTATCTACTTTCTATATCTATCATCTGTTGTTCGTCCATCGATTTCGATGAAGACCTTGACATCTTGTGGATTGTGGGCCATCAACGGTGTGTCCGTAGATGGCTGATGAGACCGATGTTAGCACGGAATGTTCTGCCACATACTGAACAGAGAAATGTGGACACTGTTGCTTCAGCATTTGCAGCTCTGGCTTTACGGAGTGCTCGCTTCTCTTGTTGTTCGTCCATCATCTACTTTCTATCTCTATCGTCTATGTCTATCTACTTTCTATATCTATCATCTATCTCAGGGGTAGTCAACCTTGGCTCTTTTATGACTCGTGGACTTCAACTCCCAGAATTCCTGAGCCAGCTAAGCTGGCTCAGGAATTCTGGGAATTGAAGTCCACGAGTCATAAAAGAGCCAAGGTTGACTACCCCTGATCTATCTCTATCATCTGTCTGTCTGTCTGTCTCTCTCTCTCTCCCCATCAACCTACCTACCTATCAGTCCAGCTCATCCCCTGCAATCTGCTGGACACCACAGAGTTAACCGAGGCTTAACAGCCTTGTAAACAGGAAGTGCAGCTGCACAAGGACAGCCTATTTTCCAACCCTGGATGGTGGCGGCACCAAGTTGACGCTTCCTTGCTGTGCCAACATCCCCTCCGGCAGGCAGCCAAGCCCAGGTCATCGGCAAGGAGGATGTTTTCCACAGTAAGCGGGATAAAGCGAGCAGCGGCCAAGGACAACGCCGTCTCCGAAGGAAAGCAAGAGGGCAAAGGGGCGGGAAAAAGCAAGGCGAGCAATGGCACTTAGACTTATACACCGCTTCACAGTGCTTGACAGCCCTCTCTAAGCGGTTTACAGGGTCAGCACGTTGCCTCCCAAGAATCTGGGTCCTCATTTGACCGACCTCGGAAGGATAGAAGGCTGAGTCCAACCTTGAGCCAGGCGGGATCGAACAGCTGGCAGTGGGCAGAGTTAGCCTGCAATCCTGCATTCTAACCCCTGCGCTATGAGGGCTGATATATAGCTTTGATCTTTTATATAAACCGTCCCCCAGCCTGGCCTTTAATGTTCGACCAGAGCAGTCTTCTCCAACCTCCTCCATCTTCCACAGAATTTGGATTGCAAGACCTTCATTGTCGCCGAGACACGACAATTCAAAGGGAGCCTGCAGAAACCAAGGCTCTACTTTAAGCCGCAGAGGGCTTGATAACAGGTAGTCCTCGACTTATGACCACAATTGAGCCCAAAATTTCTGTTGCTAAGCAAGCCAGTTCTTGAGTTTGGCCTCATTTTACGAACTTTCTTGCCACAGTTGTTAAGTGAATCACTGAAGTTGTTAAGTTAGCAACACGTTTGTGATGGGAATCTGGCTCCTCCCACTGACTTTGCTTGTTAGAAGCTCGCCAAAGGGGATCACGTGATCCCGGGACACGGCGACCGTCATAAATATGAGCCGTTACTGAGCATCCGAATTTTGACTCATGTGACCACGGGGTGCTGCAACAGTTGTTAAGTGTGAAAAACGGTCATAAGTCCATTTTTCCAGTGCCACTGAAACTTCGAATGGTTACTAAGTTGTAAGTTGAGGACTACCTGTATATATTGGTACAATTCACCGTGCCAATCTTGCCTCTTTTCAGCCACGATGGTTCCGTACGTACAAAACGGCCCCACTCTGCTCTAGTCAATTGGGGAATTCTTTCCTTTCAAAAAGGACCTGGCTTGCCACCAAACATCTGTGGAGATTCAGTTCTGAAAACCAGCGAAAACAATTCTTTTACTTAGGTCAGGGGTAGGTAGGCAACCCTGGCTCTTTTATGACTCGTGGACTTCAACTCCCAGAATTCCTGAGCCAGCAAGAACTGGCTGCGCTTTTAAAGCAATTCGGGGGAAAAACTTCTCTGAATAAACCAGGATAACCTCTGATTCAGAGTGACAATTCCAATGCATCAGATTGGACTTAAATTCACAATTACGGCCATAGCAGCAGGATATTCTTGTTCCTGTCGTGATGGGGTGTCCAAACTTCGCCACTTTTAAGACTTGTGGACTTCAATTCCCAGCATGGCTGGCTGGGGAATTCTGGGAATTGAAGTCCACAGGTCTTAAAAGTCGCCAAAGTTGCTGTAAATGTTTTATGGGCAGCTCCACAGTGGCCTGATGTGTCGAAGAGGCCTCCAAAGGGCCCCGGGAAATGTTGGCTAAGGGATCATTAGAATGCTTTGGTTTTCAGGGGCAGAAAATGAGCAAAAAGGGGGAGACTCTCCCGGTGCATAATTCAGCCTTGAGGGGCAGTTGAGCTATAGTGACCTCCCTCCACGCCGATGACCCTCTGGAACAACGGTGGCAGGCCTGGCTGGACTCCAGCACGGGGACCAGGAGTATCACGTATGCCCGCTGTGCCCGAGCAAAATATTTTCCAGCTTTTGCTTCAAGACACAGCCAGGTTTCTGGAACGAAAAGCTCCAAGTTTTAAGTCTCGGGAGAGACGACCCGCCCCCCTTCCCCATCCCTGGTCAGACCACATTCCTGTGTGGTGTGTTTGTTCCAAGCGCCTGCGCTGGCTGAAGGCCTCCGGGCTTCCCCTTCTGTTTGTGCCCTGTTTGTGCGCTCTTTCCACAGACCGCTCGTTCTCCGAGTGTGTTGTCTGGCAGGAGAGGAAATCCTGGCCTCTGGAAGCCCTCTCCAGCCGGCCTGATAAGGACCCGGCTCAGACCTGCTGCACACCTGGGCATCGGGCCAGGTGTGTGTTATTTTTTTTGGCAAGGCTGGCTTTGCGACCGTGGGCTTCTGTCAGAATGTGACCTGCCAAGGGAATCTGCTGGGAGGACAAACGTGAAAAGAAACAAGTCGCGGGTCTCGACATAAAAGGCGGCGTTGATTTGGGGATGCTCCGCAGGGCTAGCGGCAAGACCCACCCGGGGACAGAGGCCTAGGAAAGGGCTGCTAGGCTTACGGGACAAAAGCCGTACAGTGAGGTCCTTGGTGCTGTCTGAGCTTGGTGGTTTCCTTGCAGACGTTTCATTACCAAATTAGGTAACATCATCAGTGCAAGGGGAGAGTGGGATTTGTGTAGTGGAATACAAGGAGGAGGACTGTGGGGTCCTTGGTGCTCTCTCAGCTTGGTAGTTTCCTTGCAGACGTTTCATTACCAAACTAGGTAACATCAGCAGTGCAAGGAGAGAGTGGGATTTGTGTAGTGGGATACAAGGAGGAGGACTGGGGACGTTTCACTACCATACTAGGTAACATCAGCAGTGCTAGAAGGATGTAGGGTTTGCTCTCTGTAAATCCTGTAAAGATCGCACCGGTGATGTCACCCAGTTGGATAATGAGACAATTGCAAGAAAACCATGTTTCCCCATCAGACACATTTTGGGGGGTCACAATCTAAGCCGTGGCAGCTAGCGTTCAAGGCCTGGCATGTTCACACGATGACATCTGCATGCAGCCCAGTGTAGCAAGGCCTCTTTAAAGGCTGAAGTTGGCCAAGGGGGGATTGCGGGAGGAGGCAGCCCCCGTTCTGTGCTCGATGCTATCTTGGCAACTACCAAGATGGCGGTAAAAAAAACGCCCCTTCTTCCCTACCTGGGCCCAAGAGATGGCACTCACGGCTTCTCCAGCAGAGCCAAAGAGCCACTCTGGGGCTGCTTCAGAGAGCAAAGAAGCAACAACTTTCAACAACTTGTTTGTTCTGGCTCCGGCCGCTCGCCTGGCTGACATCACATCCTGAGAGCAGGGCGACCGGCACAGCCCAGACAATCTGAACGCGAGCCGGGACCTCATTCGAAGAGAACGAGGCAGGAAGGTGGACGGAGAACGCCAAGGAGCCTCGCTCTGACCAGGGGGGTCTCCGAGACGGCTTCCCGCCATGGGGGATCCAGGAGAGCCAGGAAAAGCTTGAAGAACAAGCGGGCAAGGAAAGGCCATTAAGCGGAGGAAGGAAGATGGATTCTGGCCGAGAACCTCAACGTTTGCGAGTAAGTCCTCCTCCAGGAGAGGTGGGTGGGAGGTAGAAAGAAAGCAGGACTACAAAAACCATGCTGCTTCTTTAGTTCAGCTGGTATTTGGGAGTAGCAATTGAATCCAAAAATGTCCGTTGCTAAGCGAGGCGGTGGCCAACTGAGTTTTGATCCATTTTACGACCTTTCTTGCCACAGTTGTTAAGCAAATCACTGCAACTGTTAAATTAGTAACATGGTTGTTAGATGGATCTGGCTCCTGCTTTGTATTCAAAATGGACTATGATATGTGTGTGTGTGTATAGAGAGCGAGCAAGCACAGGTGTGTGTGTGTGTGTGTGTGTGTAGAGAGAGACAGACAGACAGAGACAGAGCAAGCACAGGTATATGTGTTTGTGTGTGTATACACACACGCACGAGCTCATAGTGTACATATAAACAGCAAGTAAC